TCAGTTCTGATTTTTGACCTCTATCAAATATAATTGATTGGATTTAGTTTTAGCATCAGGAAGGAAACCAGATATACAAATTTGTAACAAAAAGGTTACCTAAAATAAATAAGATAAATATTTCCATCTGTGATACTTTTCTTTTGTTGGAAGAATCTATACAGAACATCCTAGGAAAAGGCCTTAGTGTGAATCTATTGAACATGTTCAGCCAAGCAAAGAAACTTCCCATTCTAGTGTGGTAGATTCATAAGTCATTTTTTAGTCTATTCAACAGGGAAAAAAAGCAGCTGATTTTTAAGTTCATCACTAAAGACTTTTCAGATACTTAGCAAACACGTTCTGGTAACTCATTGATGTTCCTTTCAGTTCAGTTCAGTTGCTCAGTCGTATCCAACTCTGCGACCCCATGGACCCCATGCCAGACTTCGCTGTCCATCACCAACTCTGAGTCTACTCAAGCTCATGCCCATTGAGTCGGTGATGCCATTCAACCATCTCATCCTCTGTCGTCCCCTTCTCTTTTGCCTAGGGTTCCTTTAGCCTAGGGTAAATGAGAGCCATCATTAGGTGACATTTGGGGATTGTCAGTCCCAGCACAGGACAACTCTCAGAACTCCACACGTCCTGAAAGTTGGGTGTCCTTGGGGGCTAGCTCAGCCAGGGTGTGTCCTATGCTTCAGACAGCTTGGGATTTAAGGCCTGCTTTGAGTCCATTAGGCTAGTTGTTAACTGACCTGGACAAAAGGCTTTAGAATCTTTAAGTAGAGGTGAACAATATCTGTATTCCTTACCTCATTCATATAGAGCCTGTATCAGTGTTTGCTAATGGAGGATATAACTGGGACATAGAGGAAAAGTGGCAGGCCAGGCTTCTCCAACATGACCTCCTTGTTCTGCTTCTAACTCTTGGAGTTGTTGTTGAGGATAAATGAAATACGAGTACCTGAGTTGGAGTATGCGCGCAGTGTCTGTGTCTGCCTGCTCCCTCCTCCTCCTGGTAATGGTTTTGCTTAACATTAATTGACTTCATCAGTATGGACAACATGTATATTTAACCATTGTTTTAAAAAAAAAGGATTAAGGATTTCTAGTAAAAGAGTCCTGATAATTTTATAAGATGATGAGAAAGTATATACTTTATTTGAGATAAAGCTGAAGCTTGTTTTTCGTGCTGTACGTATTTGTCACTTTTTTTTCTTCTTGCCTTTGGAAAGTTTCACATTAACAACAGCATGAGAACTTAAAAATACAGTTGATGTTGAAAGAGCTTAACTAAATATTTTAAATTGGTGGTATTGGAAGGAGATTCTGTAAAAATCCAATTAAACTTTTGAAAGCTCTATCCTGTTGAAATAACTTAAAGGAAGTTAGTTTGGTTTCCCAGAAGTACTATGCATAGTGTTTCTGGCCGAGGAAGAAAGACCTGAATCTGCTATTTATTTGGCCAGAAATTGGGTACCAGCTTCCTCTACGATGTTTTACTTGAGCGGTGTTGACACTTGAACAAATCCTGTACAAACTGCCCCAAGTGGGGAACAGTTGTCCTTGCTTCTGTGGTAGAGCTCCGGCCCCATAACTAACATCCAGAAGCTGGTAGTATTCTTGGCTGAATACTCTATAGATACGTATAAATTGAGAGCAAAACCCCAACTGTTTTAGGAACTTTCATGGCTACCGTTTTTCAACCAATCAGTAAAGTAAACTTTTAAAAATACTGATGCAGTTTATTGCTTCCTAGCCAATAAAAACAGTGAACAAAAAGAGTCTAGTGTCCCTTGTTTCTTAAGTAAACTTTGAAAATTCAGTTTTCTTGCCATTTAATTATTCAATTCAAAAGACTAGAATGACTCCTTTTTAAATCGGGGCACTTTAGGAATTTTTTTTTCCCTTGCCTCAGACATCAGAAATAACTTTCTCTTCACGTTAAATGACAGTGAAGTATTTTGCCAACCTGTTTGTTTTGGTGATTTATTTTTCACAGGGAACAAGAACAAACACTGGTGTGCAAAAAACCTTTTTCTGTTTGATTTACACTGACAAGAATGATAGCTACATTTACTACTGGTATTAAGACATTTCTGTGTATTAAACATATGTGAATATAAGCAAAAGAAAAGTGGTTTATTTCTGGTTGCTTAAAAGGTTTAAGTGTATTAGCTTAAATTCTTTGAATTTACTCTAAGAGGGGGAAGAAAAAAACACTTAAGGAAGTTGATGTGTGCATTTTAAAAACGGAGCAGTAGGAGCCAAAAAGGGAATTAAAAACATAAAAAGTATTTGTTTGTTGGTTTGGAGCCAGAGGAGAGGGAGAAGGGCAGGGTGGCTCACGGACACTCACTCCAGGAGTTGAAAGAGAACCCCCCTGGGAAATAACTGGTACAGAATTCAGAGGGCTGCTCTGGCCCTTCTGTCTTTGTCCTTCTGGGGTTTTGTTGTGGAGTCATGTTAATTATGTGACCCTTTATGGAGTCACAGTGGTTATCAGGACAGCAAAAATACGTTAACCACAAACTGTGGAAATCTCGGTTGATGTGGACAGTGTCTTTTAAAATTTGGCCTCAGCTGAATAATCTTACCGCTTCCTGAATGTGAGCCTGTTAAATCAGGCCGAGGAAGGTAGCTGGGTTTCACTGTGGCGCTGAGTGACCAGTGTTCACAGCAACGCGGGTTTTCTCCAGCAGAGGAGAGCACTTTAAAGAATTCAGCAGCTAGTCTGGCCATTCAGAGCTTTCAAATGCTATATAAACTCAGCAGTTACACAGAGTGCAGTCAGGAGGAGAAAGAGAAATACCGTATTCTAACACATAGATGTGGGATCTAGAAAAACAGCCCCAAAGAATTTATTTACAGGGCAACAATGCAGAAACAGACATAGAGAATAGACTTGTGGACATGGGGAGGGGGAGATGTATGAGGAGAGTAACATGGACTCTTACACTGCCATATGTAAAATAGACAGCCAATGGGTATTTGCTGTAGGGCTCAGGAAAAAACTGAGGCTCTGGTGTCAGCCTGGAGGGGTAGGATGGGGAGGGAGCTGGGAGGGAGGTTCAAAGGGGAGGGGATGTATGTATACCTATGGCTGATTCATGTTGAGGTTTGACAGAAAACAGCAAAATTCTGTAAAGCAGTTATCCTTCAATTAAAAAAAAAACTCAGCAGTAAGCCAGCAGTACTTTAAGATGCAAATTTACCTCACAAATTCTCATCTTAAATTCACAGAAAATTATAACCACGTTAAGCATCAATAGAGGAACTACTAGTGATTGCTTAGTGAGAGATTCTTTGGTCTGGGGGTTTATTTAGAGGAATACATTATCTTAAATAGGATTAATTAATTCTAAAACTGGGAATTAAGGCCGCCTTATAAATAGTATGTGCTTTCCTCGTGGCTGAGATGGTAAAGAATCTTCTTGCAGTGCAGCAGACCTTGGTTGGGAAGATTCCCTGGAGAAGGGATCATAAGTCATATTTTTTTAAAAGGTGACATTAATTTTATTTGTATATCAAAAATATACAATGATGTGGGGCAATTGCATGAAGTCAGAAGCTGGTCTGTGGTGAGGAACAGCGCAGGTCTTTGACAAACCTGGGAGTTTCTTTGCATGTCATTGTGGGCAGAATCCTTTTGGGCTGTCAATATTGAGTAGTTTTGAAGGGTTACTAGCAAACCTTAGACGACATTAAGAATACAGATGGCAGAGGGGTGGGGAAGTGGCTCAGATAGAGGGATAGGGTGGTGGCTCAGATGTTAATTCACTATTTAAGTGAAGATAGATAGGAAGATTGAATAGAAGCTTTTATGTATTACATATATAAGTTCCATGAGTTCAAGCATTTTTGTTTTATCCTAAGCATTCAGGATAGTCCCTGGCATATAATATGCATTTGACAAATCATTGATGGAATGAATTTTGATAGCCTTCCTGGTACAGTGCGTTGCAAAGGGAAATTAAATGTGCATGACACCACAGTTAAGTTATTGGTACCAGACTTCCTGATCTGGTTGAGAAATTGTTAAATATCAAACGCATAAAGTTTTAACACCATTCAGCTTTAATCTTTATCTAGTTGTTTTGCTTTGGTCTGAAAAATGGGAAGATGTGAATATATGCATACTGGAGTGAATTTCAAAGAGCTAGTCCATTTTATTTTGGAAGGCCATGTGTTAAGTGAACTGGCTTATGTGCTGGCGTTTCACAGTGGCTAATGTAGAAACTGTTAGGACCACTTTGTGAAAGGGTCGCAGTTGTGGTCCATTAAGTTGGTGATGTGAGCAGCTCCTTGAATTCCTTCCTCCCTTGGACACCTTAGAGCCATTAGTCCTGCCCTGATTCAGTTGGAGTTGGTTGGTATAGAAATTATATTGGCACAGTAGTTAGTAATAAAGGCGCTCAAGCTCATCTAGTCATCTCATGGATTTACATGTGCAGGAGCAGCTCAGTGCTCATAAAAATATGAGCACTGATTCATCCTGCACATTTATTTTTAAAAATTGTTTAAAGAGAATTTTTAGACAATTTTAAAAAATTGAAGTGCGGTTGATTTGCAGTATTTTGTTTTAGCAAATGTTTTAGGTGTACAGCAAAGTGACTCACTTATACATGTATCTACTCTTTCTCAGCTTCTTGTCCCATGTAGGTTATTGCAAAATATTGAGTACAGTTACCTGTGCTATGGGGCAGATTCTTGTTTGTTACCTATTTTATATATAGTTTCATGTATGGGTTAAACCCAACTCCTAATTTAGCCCCCCCCCCCATAAAATTTCCATTTTCCGTTCTGCAACAGTACACAGAGTACTTAATTAAGGACTATTCTGCAAAACAGTGACTCTCTGCGATAGATGCCCTGAGCAGTTTCTAGTTCATCAGGAATCCACACACCTTCCTCCGTAGAGCCTGAGTTTGAAAGACACTCCTCGGCAGACAACACTCCCTGCCTTGTCCAGGGTTGCCAGCCGCCCGCTCACCTTGCCTTCTTGGTCTGTTGCGCAGGTGAGAAGCCGTACAAATGCACCTGGGAAGGCTGCGACTGGAGGTTCGCGCGCTCGGACGAGCTGACCCGCCACTACCGCAAGCACACGGGGGCCAAGCCCTTCCAGTGCGGCGTGTGCAACCGCAGCTTCTCCCGCTCCGACCACCTGGCGCTGCACATGAAGAGGCACCAGAACTGAGCTGCCCGCACCGCCGCCGCCCGCCCCACGCAGCCCACTCGGCAGAAGTTTAAACTACACGATTGATTCTATATATATATAAAAGAGAACGAAAACACAAAACTGGAAATGTATATTTTGTATATTTGAGAAAACAGGGAATACATTGTGTTAATACCAAAGTGTTTGGTCCTTGTCCGAATCTGGAATGCTTGCTATATGCTGGCTTGACCCAGGCGGATGCCATCATCTCAGACAGGCAGCCCCATCTCAGTGCGGGCTGGGCATGCAAGGGTGTGTTTGAAGTGTTCTTTCCCAAAGCACCACCATTTAATGTGACAGTGTTTAGCAAACAAGTCCGTTGGGCACAAGAAGACAGCTGGATTGTGTGTCAAGATTTTGCTTGACATCAGAGGAGTTTTTTTTCAATACAAGATAATTCTTTAGAGGTACGCAGCATACCTGGCAATTCACAAATAGCCATTGAACAAATGTGTTGTTTTGTTTTTTTTTTATATGAGTTGCCTATATTTGCTATTCAAAATTTTGTAAATATGCAAATCAGCTTTATAGTTTATTACACGTTTTCTAAGATTCTTTTGGGGAAAAAAATCATAAATAATTCTTTTGAAAATAACCGTGAATACATTTACAGTTAGAACTTGTGGTAAGATACCTCTTAAAACCTTACCAAATTCATTTCTGTGGTAGGTAGAAATAAATCACTCAAATGAACTTCAAAAGCAGATTTCATGCACTGATTAAAATCGGATTGTTTATTTTAAATACAAGCTACATTTTATATGAATTGTGAACTCAAGAGCTTAAAGATAGAATATTCAAAAGTTAAAACATCTTAAAATAAGCTAAACAGTATCATTTTTGAAAAGAAGGACATATGTAGTTTTCACTTGGGAATGTTGAATTTATGATACAGTTTTCATATACGGAAACGTTGAATTAATGATGCAGTTTTCATATACTGAGATGTTTGCTTGTGCAGTACAATTGGTTAAATGCCAATTTATGTGGACTTTGCATGTAATATACAGTGAGACACAGTAATTTTACCTAAATTACAGTGCAGTTTAGTTAATCTATTGTTAACACTGACTCAGTGTCTGCCTTTAATTATAAATGACATGTTGAAAACTTAAGGAAGTAAGTGCTACATATATGCAATATAAAATAGTAATGTGACACTGATGCTGTTAACCAAAGGGCAGAATAAATAAGCAAAATGCCAAAAGGGGTCTTAATTGAAATGAAAATTTAATTTTGTTTTTAAAATATTGTTTATCTTTATTTATTTTGTGGTAATATAGTAAATTTTTTTAGAAAATTTTCATAACGATAAATTATAGTTTTGTTTGTTAGAAAAGTTTCTCTTAAAAACGTGTACATAGATGACAAATGGTGTAAATATTTTGTAAGAGGCTTCAAAATGTTTATACGTGGAAACATACTTACAGGAAAAGCATAAATTGGTTGCTGTTTTGCTTCTTTTTCCCTCTTATTTTTGTATTGTGGTCATTTCCTATGCAAATAATGGAGCAAACAGCTGTATAGTTGTAGAATTTTTTGAGAGAATGAAATGTTTATATATATAAACGACAATTTTTTTTTGAAAATAAAAAGTGCCTAAAAGATTCATGTTGTGCCTTCTTCCCCTCCCATAGCAAAAACAGTGAGCAAATTCCTCTCTCGTAACTATTTAAAAGGGTCTGTTTAATGCAGACAGTTAATAAAAAAGTAATTCCCACTTTGAACCAGCATCTACCTTTGTTTAACATGGAAGAGAGGAATTTGTTTTTACAATATCAAAAGTATAAAGGGGAGCATGCTTCATGAATGTTGATTTCTTTTCCCCTATTCTGGTCAGTACACAGATACATTACTGATTTTGTGTTTTCAAGATCATTACTTGTAGACACTGGAGGTAACTTGAATATCCTAGTTTAAAAAAATTTTTTTTGATTGTGCCTCTTGGCTTGTGGGAGCTTAGTTGCCTGACCAGGGGTTGAACTCAGGCCCCAGCAGTTGAAGAGCTGAGTTCTAACCACTGGACTGTTAGAGAATTCCTTGTATATCCTAGTTGTATTGTCAGAGGTAAAACAAGAATAGGGTTTTTAACTTTTTTTTTCCTTTTTGAACAAAGTCGATTTTAACCACTAGTAACAATACACCTGGGAGCCTCACCTTGGCTTCTAGTGCCACCTCCAGTGAAAAGAACTGGGGCTCCTTGGAGACATGGCTGATTCTGGGAGTGGACATACAAAATAAGCCTGGTGTATCCTACAACATCAGACTGTAAGCAATCATAATTCCCACAGTGATGTGGGAATGTCAGAGCAACAATATAAAACATGATTGACTTGTAACCAATCCTGTTTTTTACTAGTATATACCCCTGAGTCCATGCTAATATAACTGAAAAATGATTGAAAAAATTAGAAAGATCTGCAGAAGATCTCCAGTTTTTGTAGATCCAGTCTCTGGTAGAATTTAACGCCCTACTTTATGCAGTTCAGGCTGCATAAAGTGACTTTATTCCAAAGAGTACAATATAGCCAAGAGGGAAGAGAGGGTCACTTTACAGTTACAAAAACCTGCCAGACACTCAGCTTCTGATCAAGGTCCTTGTCAACAGATAAGTCATGTTCTCATAGTATATACCCTTGATTTGATGTGATGAAAATGAGACTTTGCCTCTGTGGTCTTCCTCTTAAAACACATAAGTCCTGTGTAAGCGTGAGAAAGACATTGGACATCGCAGTCGAGGGATATTGCAAACTGTCCAACCAGTAGTCAAAACTTAAGGTCTTGAAAACAGGAAAACTGAGAAGCTATCACAGCCAAGAGAAACCTAAATGAAACAAAAACAAAATGGGATTCTGAAACAGAGAAAGGACATGGGGGAAAACTGAGGCAATTTGAATAAAGTATGAAATAGAGGAAGCTAAGAGTGGGGTATATAAGAATTCTGTATTATCTTTGCAATAAGTCAAACTTCTAGAATAAAGTTTCGAGCAAAAGTTAGAGTGAAAGTTTAGGATAAAGTTTGGAGTGAAGGAGAAGAATTCAGTATCACTATCATATATTTTCAAGAAGTGGAAAAATCTCTGATGAGGAAAATAAGGTAAAATTGCAGTTAACATAATTTGGCATTGTAAGTTTATTCAGCCTTCCTCATTACTGGACCCCTCATTCTCCCTGTCACTCAACACAGCTAGCTAAAGAAGAGGGCGTGTTCATTCTCCAGCCGGAACCTCATTATTTCATGGGTGAAAAACATAATTTCTTTGGCTTAAATTTATTTCTAGAAATTGAGATAGAAAGTGAGGCTACTAGGTTTCTGAAGCAAAGACAGAGATGTCTAATGATGCATCAGAGATGGATAAGTATTCAGTTGATAATTGTAAGAATTAAGTTTTCTTATGTGTAGAAATGTTCTGCTTGCTTTGGTTCCAGCACTTAACTATATTCAGCTTCCTCACGCTTCAGTACCAATTTACTCCAGATTACAGATTACAACTGTTTCTAGTCTCTTTTTTTTTTTTTGGACCAGGCAGCATCTGGGATCTTAGTTCTGCGCGTGTTCATTGGAAGCACGCAATTTTAACCACTGGGCCACTGGGGAAGTCCCTCTCTGCCTTTCTTTAGTCTCTGTTTCTCCCTTATGTAAAAAGCTGCCTTTTCTCTTCTCTTGCCAGCTACCTGTTCACATGCTTGTGTACTAGAGCTCAGTTCAGATGCTGTCTTTCTTGGTCAGACTCAGTGGAACCTCTTTTGCATTTGGAGACATGATGACGCTTCAGCATTTGAATATTTTCCAACTTCTTTTGTGTATGTTTTTTCTCCTCAGATTGTCAACTCCTTGGAAGAAACACCACTTCTCAGATTGCTTTTGTTTTCCTGCTCTTAGTGATTGATAAAGCAGATGTCAAAAATAGTTTTACAGTGCTGTGTGAATTGGTTTAAGCCCTGAAGGGGTTGAATCTGTCTGATGTTCAACAGATTTCCTCTTCACGTTGCCCTGTTGATGCAGTGTTGTTGCTGGATTCTTGATGAGGTGTGTGACTGAAACTGATTACAAGGTGGGCAAACAGGTAATGCCTTGTGAATTTTCAAACATTGTGAGTGAATTTTCAAAGGGAGAATTATTTTAGTGTCTTAACACACTTTCAAAGCTGCAGACAGTTTAATTTCGATCATTAGCATATCCACTAAATAAATAGCTGCATTCAAATATACTCTGACCAGTCTCTTGATAAACAAACTACCCCAACTAGATGAAAATTGATTAAGACGCAAGATTCCAGTTAGCCAGAACATAATGATGTGATTTGACATCAAGTTAGTAACACTCTGAGTTTTAACCATCTTCAGTTACTTGTCATTCTCCCTTCCACCACCCCCTGCCCAAGTTACCTCGTTTTCTGTTTTGTTCATTATGTTATTTCATTCTTACACTGCATCTTGTGTTAAATGCATCACTTCATGGTATCCAATTAGAGAATCCTTAGATAAGCATGACTTGCCTGCCTACATAAAAATTTCTTCAAAATCTAGCTAGATTCCTTTTCCTATCTGCAGCTAAGCCCACCAGAGCTCTTTGGATTAACTCATGGACTGTAACATAACAAAACAGAGCTTTATTCTTCATTACTAAATCTGGTCTCTACTTTGAAGTTAACCAAATCCCATCTTTGGTTAGATTCTTTACTGTAGTCTCAAAGTAATCAATAGGAGACACTCCCCCCCCCCCAACCCTTTTTACTCATACCAGAGTTATCAGTGACAAAACCTGGCAATTATTTATATTTAATATTTATATAAAAATGATTATTAAGGCAAAAAGAAGCATAATAAATTACATGAGAGCTGTGTATAATTAGAAGAGTTTGCTATAGGAAAACTCAGAATGTCTTTTTTTCTTTGTAAACCAGCAATCTACTTTACTTACCACTTTTAGTGATTACCACCCCATGAAAGCATTTGGGGTGATAGGAATGGTAATATTCTTGAACATAAATGTAAAAACTTAATTCTATTTGGCATACAAAGACATTTGAATGATGTATATATGAAAGCATTTGAACAGGAAACTAAGACACTATACAGACTTCTAGGAAAAACAAATGGTAGATTACACACATCTAATTTTGCAGCTTCCTTAAAAAACCCACTAAAGTGGAGAGTTTTTTTTCCTTTAAGGAATAACCCTATGAGTAAAAAAGGAAAACAGAAATACCAACAAGCTTGTGATTGCTGGGGAAAGCTAGATAGATGAGGCAACAAGCTGAGCAGAACTGAAAAAGCTAAATCCTAAAGTAGTGGTGGAGAAAACTAGGAACAAACCTAATTCTAATCCCCACAAAAATCCCAAAAGATCTCAGGAATTTGTAGTCTCAAATAGTTCTAAAGTAGAGCCAATATGCACTTGTTAAAAGTTTGTCTAAGAAGTTGTTAATTACCTAGCTCATTTCTTCCCCTCCCCCCACTCCTGCTATATCATCAACACTGTGAATAGGAAATAACCAGGGAGGCCACACTGAGGAATGGAGATTTATCTGCTTATTCTCTGGAGAATTCTCTGGAGAGGGTAAAGACAGAGGGTCTCTAAACCAGCAGACTAGAGGTCCAGTTGAGGGGAGAAGTGCCAAATAGAAAGTAGGAGAATTAAATAAGCATGCATGTTTGTTACTGGAACCCATTCCTTATTTGATTCCTAGAATACTGGAGTCAAGCCTTTATCCTCCAGGCAGAAGGCTGGAAAAGTATTCCAGCCCAGGAAGAACGATCTAGATGTACTGAAATTCCCAAGTTCTCCAACAATATGGCCCAACCAGATCATTTGCTCCCTCACTATTAATAAACAACCAAGAATTACCAGATATCTGAGGAAACCATTTAATGTGAAAGAGATAAAGCAGAGAAGAGCAACTTGGAGGAAAAATAAAACACTATGTTAAGATATTTGAGGTACTTGGTGTGCACTCAGTCATGTCTGACAATTTGCGACCCCACAAACCACAACTGCCAGCTTTGTCTGTCCTTGGGATTCTCTAAGCAGGAATACTGGAGTGGGTTGCATTTCCTTTCCACCATGTAAGATAGGCAAAAAAGATGACCCCAAAAAGATGTCCTTTTCATTATAGGGGACTGGAATGCAAAAGTAGGAAGTCAAGAAACACCTGGAGTAACAGGCAAATCTTGCCTTGGAGTATGGAAGGGCAAAGGCTAATAGAGTTTTGCCAAGAGAACGCACTGGTCATAGCAAACACCCTCTTCCAACAACACAAGAGAAGACTCTGCACATGGACATCACCAGATGGTCAACACAAAACAGATTGATTATATTCTTTGCAGCCAAAGATGGAGAAGCTCTATACAGTCAGCAAAAATTAGACCAGGAGCTGACTGAGGCTCAGATCATGAACTCCTTATTGCCAAATTGAGGAAAGTAGGGAAAACCACTAGACCATTCAGGTATGACCTAAATCAAATCCCTTATGATTATACAGTGGAAGTGAGAAATAGATTTAAGGGACTAGATCTGATAGACAGAGTGCCTGATGAACTATGGACGGAGGTTCGTGACATTGTACAGGAGACAGGGATCAAGACCATCCCCATGGAAAAGAAATG